TGTAACACATCAGGCTTCTCCTCCCACTTTGTAATTAAATTTAGAATCACTTTGAATGATCTGGATCCATATACTCCTGCATATATTTTTTTTTTATTTAAAAAAATTTTCCTTTGCACTGTTGATAAAACTCCAATTTTCACATATTAGGAGAGGCTTCAAGAGGTCAAGGGGGAAAAAAAACTAAACATCAAACATCATGTCTGCATTTAATTGGCATGGATCTATTAACTGTATAATGCTAGTCAAATAATGAAGTACTGAGTCACTGTATCGAAAGGAATTGGAACACACAGAAGAATTTCATGAAACAACATATGAGCAAGAGCCTATGGTGATGAAAGAAGTAGTTCAGGCTGCTTTGAAGGACATGGCCAAAAATAAGGCTCCAGGAATAGATGGTATACCAATTGACATATTTCAGTTAACAGATGCTGCCCTGGACGTGCTCACCAAGTTGTGCCAAGAAATCTGGAGAACAACCACTTGGCCAACTGACTGGAAGAGGTCTGCATTTGTTCCTAACCCAAAAAAAGGTGACCCAACAGAGTATGGAAACTATAGAACAATATCATTGATTTCACATGCAAGCAAGATTCTACTGAAGATTACCCAAAAACGACTGAACAGCACATCAGCAGAGAACTACCAGAAGTCCAGGCTGGGTTTAGAAGGGGTCGTGGTACTAGGGATATTGTAGCTGATGTCAGATGGATCTTAGCTGAAAGCAGAGAATACCAGAGGAATGTCTATCTGTGTTTCATTGACTATGCAAAGGCATTTGACTGTGTGGATCATAACAAACTGTGACTGACTCTGGGAAGAATGGGAATCCCAGAACACTTGATCGTTCTAATGCGAAACGTATACTTGGACCAGGAGGCATTCGTCAGAACAGAGCAGGGGAACACTGCATGGTTCAAAATTGGGAAGGGCGTACACCAGGAATGCATCCTATCTCCATACCTTTTCAACCTATATGCAGAACAGATTATCTGGGAGGCTGGGCTTTATGAGGAGAAATGTGGGGTCAAGATTGGTGGACGATTTATCAACAGTCTGTGTTACACAGATGACACAACCTTGCTTGCTGAAACTGAAGAGGACCTGAAGCACCTGCTGCAGAGTGTGAAGGACTGCAGCCTACAATGTGGATTGAGGCTCAATGTCAAGAAGACAAAGATTCTCACCACTGGACCAATTGGCAGCATCAGGATGGATGGTGAAGAGATTGAGATTGTAAACAGCTTTAGTTTGCTTGGCTCCACAGTCAACACTCTTGGCACCAGCAGCCAGGAAATTAAAAGGCACATTGCGATGGGAAAGTCTCCTGTTAGGGACCTCTCCAAAGTACTGAAGAGCAATGGTGTCTCTCTGGAAACTAAGGTGCGTTTGATACAGGCCATATGCATCAGAGAGTTGGGCAATGACCAAGGAGGATAGAAGGAGAATTGATGCCTTTGAGCTGTGGTGCTGGAGAAGAGTATTGAGAGTACCATGGACTGCTAGGAAAACAGATTCGTCCTGGAAAGGGTTAAACCAGGTGGCTCCTTGGAGGCAAGGATTCTGAGGCTCCGTCTAACATACTTTGGACATGTTGTGAGGAGAGACCAGTCCTTGGAGAAGGACATCATGCTTGGGAGGGTGGAGGGACAGCACATGAGGGGAAGGCCCTCTATGAGGTGGATTGTTTCAGTGACTGGGATAATCGGGATGGGAGTGTCAGAGACAGTGCGATTGGCACAGGTCAGAGCAGAGTTTACGGCTGTTGTACATAGGGTCGCTATGAGTCGCAAATGACTTGATGGCACATAACAACGACAACAACATTTGCTGATTATTCCTGAATGTTCTAAAAGTGCTGTGTTTAATTTTTTTATGACCATGATAGAATTTTAAAGAATATTTTATGCTTAAACTATCATGGCTGTCCCTAATTGTAGACCATTGTGGAGATTGCATATCTGAGTCTATCTCAAGGTTTTGGAGTTAATTCTTGACTGTGGTTCCCTTCATCTTTAGAATGGCTGTCTGCTTCAAAAAAGATACTAGCTTTCTCTTTTGTTCAACTTAGTTTCAGGACATGTAGGATCTGCCCTTATTTAGTGACTATTTGATCTTGCTGGAGTATGTAATATTGAACTATTTGTCTACTTAACCACTGCTAAATGAGACTAGTGTTGTTATATCTGGAGGAACACTCTTCCACTTTGTACATCACTCCTTGTCAATGTGATGTATGAAGTAATCTGGGTGTGCTGTGATGCTGAACTTTGTGCCATTGGGATATCAAATACCAGAATTGTTTCCCATTGTGGACAGTGTTTGATGGAGCTCCCAGTTGTAAAACAGGTTTGGTAGCAGGAGTGGCATCCACTTCCTAAATCACATACCTCTGGAAACTATGAACTTGGAGAAATGACGATAGTTATGGAAAAACATTAGGTCCTTTGTTCATAGAGTTGCTATGAGTTATGCTCCACTCGATGGCAATTAACAAGAACAACATCCCATTTGTGTATCTAGAAGCTTTATCAGTGGTTGATAATCCAGCCCAGAACTTGGCTGCTGGTTTTTAGTCAAGAAAGTTTTATTGGAGCACAGCCACACTCTTGTATGCTTTGTTTGTGGGAGCTTTTATTCTACTGTGGCAAAGCTGAGAATCTGTGATGTGGAGTGACCTGCAAGCCTAAAATATTCACTGCCTGAGACTCCTTTTAACTCTTATCTTCTCTGTGTCTGTGACATTTTTAGTCTTGCGATCCATAATTTTCATTGACTTCTTTTCAGAAGTAGATTGCCAGGCCTTTCTTCCCAGTCTGGAAACTCCACGGAAACCTATTTGACAATATAGCAGCATTCGAGCTGCCACTGACAGAAGGGTAGTGGCTACATATTAGATCTATTGTCAAGGAATCAAACCCAGGTCTCTTACAAGGAAGGCGAATATTTTACCACTGAATCACCAATGAGCTTTTGTTAATGTGGGTTATGAACTTACCTCAGCTCGTTGCTGTCAAGCTGATTCTGACTCACAGTGATTTTTGAGACATAGTTGAAGTACCCCCTAGCGTTTCCAAGAGTTTAATTCTTGGTAGAAGCAGACTGCCTCATCTCCTGTAGGCCAGCTGATTAGCTCCTCAGTGCTTCACGCACGAAGCCACTCATCAGTATATACTATATCAGACGTTAACTCAGCTTTCTTCTATATGTTAACTGTTTGAAATGTAACAGTAAGCCTATTATGTATTATGTGTTTATGATCACATTTCCCCCCAAATCTCTTTACTTTCTGGCCTAATGAAAGATTACCATGTCAAGTCAGACAGCCTCTAGAAGCCTCTTGTGTATTCTTCTGAGTGAATAAAAGAAAGCAAATGATGTCTTAGCATTATTATGGAGGAATGAAGAATGAAAATATTACTATGAATAATTTTGTCATTGTGGACCTTCCTTGATAGGTTTTAAGACTTCAGTGGTCTCAAGACCATATGTTCAGAGAACCGTGTATTTGAATTGCATTATCTTATTCTTATGTTGAATTGTACTCTGATATTTTGGCATCAGCATGAACTGAAAAATGCTTTAAGAAAATGTTTGGAATTTCACTTTATTTATTACTGCCATTTTGGTGAGGAATTTGTCCTAAGGGGAACATTGCACATTATCCCTTTCATGAGGAACCACAGGAGCCATATCCTTCAGATTTCAGTGCCAGGAGAAGCTGTGCCACTTCTGAGCCACTGGTAGGTTTTTAATATTATTAAAAACAGATTTTCCTAACCATATTTTCTTCTTTGCTTTGGCAACTAGGAAGCTCAGAGCCATTTGCAGCTCCCTTTTCAGTTCTTGCATAGGGGTGCATGTCTGTGTACTAATCTTACTATTGGCTTTCTTATTTTCATTTTCACTCCTCTCAATTTCTTCAACTACATCTTATTTATTATCCGTTTGTCTGTTTCTGTAAATTATATAATGCATTATTCTAGATGTTTTTATACATTGTCTCCTTTCTTAACAAGATTGAATGTAAATTCTTTGTAGTAAAAATTTTCTGTCATATTGTTGTATAAAACATGTATATCAAACATTAGCATCTAGTAGGTTATGATGTTTGTTTTAGTTTATAGAAATTAGTGAATCTCTGGTAACTATTTTCATCAAGTTTTCTTACTAAGTGGAAACTTGATCATCCTTATCTGGAAATATTTAAATGTTATTTTGTTTCATTATATACTATATATAGTACAGTTACTTGGCAGTTTTGTTATTTACTACCTACCAAGAGGCTCTGCCCTATTTTTGCATTTTATTTATGTCTCTCATGCACAGACTTTCTTGTTACGAGTATATATCATTTTCATTGAGTCATAATAGGCATTCTTTTTGTGCCTGTTTTTCGAACTTTGGTAAATTACTTTAACATTATTCTTAGTTATGTGTGTGTCTTTTCACCATTGTGACTTTGTGAGCACAGTGGTTGTTGATTTAAACTGGGAAAAGCTTAAAATAGTAATACATCTAAAGTATGAAACTTCCTTATTTTAGAACCTAAAGTTAATTGAAGTACCTCTTTTAAGTGAAAGAGGACTCTATGGACAGACCTGCAGTCATATGTTAAGGATTGTATTACATGTTTCCTTCCTTATTTCATCAGATAGCTAGAAGTGTTTCATGGAGACATATTTTGCTAAGATTTTGTTGAAAAAGTACTGCTGTACTTCCTGTAAAGTGAAGTAGGTAGAAATCAAACTGTATTTTGTATAATGATTCTCATAGTTTTTAAAAGATTAGACTTTGCATATTTGTTACTATATAGATGCTGTCGTTTCAATTTTCAGAAGACTGTGCAGTCATCTTCCTGTAATTCTGAAGTGAAGTTGAGTCACCCAACAAGAAAACTAAATCCAGTTTAAATATAGGCATTAGTAATAGAATGCTGAAACAAACCTCTGGATTAGCTTCATTGGCTTTCCTGCTTCTTTTGCATCCCAAAGCATAAGCTTAAATCGTCTCAGAAGGACAAGGTCCGCCAGTTTATGGCATTTACACAGGCTGGTGAAAGAACTGCTATATACTGTTTAACGCAGAATGAGTGGAAACTAGAAGTGGCAACAGACAACTTCTTCCAAAACCCGGACTCATTCTACAAAGAATCCATGAGAAATTCAGTAGACAAGAAGAAATTAGAACAACTCTATAATAGGTACAAAGGTAAGGAAGGATATTAATAATGAAAACAAAATTTTTAAATGAAAGTTGAAAATATTTAAAGAGATATCTATACAACAAAGTGAATGTTCTGTGTCTAATGCCTTATACCAAAATACCTCCAAATTGCTTTTCTTGCTCTTTTTGGTATTTAGCTGTAGAATCCAATGTCTTCAATTTAAGATAAACTGTAATAATTAATCAATATAGATTAGTACTGAAATGAGGAAAGTATAAAGATTTACGTAGGAGTAAACTTTCACTCCACTTGTATCATCCAGGTTTGATATATTGATCACTAGGTGGAAGAAAACATTAATTAGATGGTAATTGATTGCCTTGATGGGGTGGTTTTATCTCTATAAATTTAGTGTTTTCCCAGACTCCCTATTTATGCTGAAAAAGAAGGCTAGTGGATAAGGAATTGCACTGCCAACCCTAAGATAGATGGTTCAAATCCACCAGCTGATCCAAGAAAGAAAGGCAGTCTCTTCCTTCATAAACTGTCTGGAGGGTCAGCTCTGGGTTGGATCTAACTCATGGGCACATGACAACATGTATGCGGAAATATTTGTAAATGTAGTTGCTTATTGAGGCCAGGAGAACTGCATAGTGCCCAGTTACTTGGTTTTTATTACTTATTTTCATTCAGCCACTCATATATATTTTTCCTTATATGTCAGCTACAATATCATAAAATACAAATTACATTAAATACAAATAAATTCTTTAACTTCTCTTAAAACTTTGCTGTGCAATCCCTGTCCCTTTACTCTTTATATCCTTTCACCAGTCTCTGCTCCCTGTACTTCCTCTCCCAGGATCAACCCTCAATCCTCCACCATTGTTTGTATTTATGTGTAAACTTTTTCTTAGTCTCTTTTTCCCCAGCTCCCCAATTCGAGCAGTAATGCATGTCCTGTTCTAGATTGTCAACTACAGTACACACAGTATCTGATCGTCCATTCATTTCAGATTGACCTTCCCTTTGCTTATTCCAGTACAGTGTTCTGTCCATTTTGAATTATCAAATACATAATTCTGTTATTTTCTTATTTTCCTTGTCACCCCCTCCCCAATAACCATCCTATTTTAATAACTGACAACTTATGTCATATTTATCTTTTTGTGACTAAGTTATTTCACTCAGCATAATGTCCTTTAGACTTTTCCTTGTTATGTTGTGTTTCACAAGTTCTTTATTGTTTTTCAATGCTGTGTAATATTCCATTGGAGTATTAGTGAATGTTTTGATCAAAATCTAGAAGAATTCTGGTCAAAAGGGAGGAAATGCAGAATAAAATTTCAAATTGTCATGTAAGCCAGTCTTTCTGCAGCCATTGAAATAAACTGTTACCTTAAATTAATCTTTAAACCTTAAACTAAAAATACCCCCAGAGATGTCATAAAATCAAGCAGTAGTTTAGGTTAACTAGTAAAAACTGTCCACCCTGAACATTGAACTGTTAAAGTTTGATCTATATGGAATCAAGCCAACAGAGCAATTCATAAATTTAGATAAAACTTCCCCCCCCCATTTTTTTTTTAATGTGTGTACCGTCAAATTGGATCTGACTGGTACAGGAGGAGATTGTCCCTCCTCCTTCAGCAGAGCATCAGGTGGATTCGAACTGTGCACCTCTGAGACTGCAGTGCAGTATCTTACCACTAGGCAACCAGAGCTCACCTAAATTTAG